GGGTGTGGAGGGCCAGCCTCTTCTCCATGCTGTTTGAGGGCATTTGTACAAGCAGAGGGGGAGCAGGGGGTTCTCTTACAGTTCTGTTCAGATAGAAACAGTCTTCACTGCAGGTATTTCTAATGAAAGCACCACCATAGAGAATCTGCTCTGTGAAGATTAGCGGGAGGCCCAAAGTCCCGCTGGGATCCATTTCAACATGTTATTAGAAGCCGTCATTCATTCTGCTGCTAAACATAATGCAGCCCACGCCATTACCAACTGATTGGATACAGCCAATAAATACCAACAAGATTAGGGCCGGTCACTATGGACACACTTGCACTTAACTTTGGAGAGGTCTGGTACAGCAGTGGCTCTAATTAGAAAGCACTTCAAACCATGTTTAACTTCCACACAACACTCTACATTTCAGGTTCTCTCGGTTTTTATCATAAGGTACAACTTTAAAATGAGACAACCTTCATATTGGCCTAACAAGTGGTAACTTATAGATTTATTGATGTTTAATAAGCCATGGAACAACTTTTAAAAAGGTCTTATCCCGAAGGGTTCCTCACTTTTTTCTAGCAAACTACTATATCACTGAAGCTGAAAATATGACCAAGTCTTCAATAAATGTTTTTTTACTAATTAACCCTCCTGTTGTCTTCGGGTCAAATCTGACCGACTTTTTTGTTTTAGATTCTATTGCATTAAGGCTTTATGATATCCTTCACAGTAGACATTTGAACATATGAAATTGCTGATCACCACTTTCATTGAGTTTTGGATGATTTAGTCAACTTTGTAACACCCATGATGTTCCCGCTCAAAAATGACCGCCATAAAGAAAAGGAATTAGTAACCATCCGGATCAGATAAAACACACTCCCACCCACCCACCCACCCCTGCACCATTTACACTCTTTGCTACAGCATGTCATTTAAGTGTAAGTGATACTCTGTGCAAAAAGATACCCTCCGAGTACTACACCTAGTGTGTTTCTCCATACTATGATATACAGTACTTGCTCAAACACAACAGGTTGCCATTGGAAATCAAGTGAACATGAGCTGAGGTAAAAATGTTGATAAACAATTGATTAGAAAAAGTACATTTTCATGCAAAAATAACTTATAAACTATATGTTTGGGTTTAGGACTGACTAAACAAGAAATGTAAAGACTTTGAGAAACTGGGACAGACATTTTTTACATTTTGTAGAATGATTAATCTAGAAAATAAGCGCAGGTTAATTAATAATACAAATGTATCCTTATGTGCAGCCCTACACAATTATAATAGAGGATGCTTATGCAGCTTCTTTGCTTTTTTAATACTACTTTTTGCATCAAATCAACTTTGCAAAACAGAAATTTGATCGAGAAGTCAGGTGTTTTATCAACAAAGCTGAAGTGATTTGTATGTTTTTGTGCATGTTCAAACCAAAAATCATACTGTGTGTCTTTGAGCACTCCCAGTTTAATCTGTACCTCGCAGGGAAAAGCCCCGTCAAATTAAAAGGCTGACTTTCATAGCCTGGGGCCACTGCAGTCAGACAGGGATGAGCTGAAAAAGCAAAAGCACTTCAACTCTGATTAAACATTCATCAGTCAGAGGAATTAAATTCTTCACAGAGGTTCCCACCCATACAATTAAGGGATCTTTGTCTGAAGAGGGAGAAACAGAGTGATTTTTGTGTGTGTTCCCAAATAGTCCGCATACTTACTCCTGTCTTGTCTCAACCTGAAAACCTGGCAGGTTGTGACTGTGCAGAGTAGGGTAATACATTCCTAGCATACCATGGGGTCAGGGGACTGGAAGAGCCAATAGGTGGCCAGCTGACTGCCCGGTCCCTCCTCCCTGCTACCAGGGAGAACAAAAACAGCCCTCTCAGGAAAATCTCTCAGAGACCTTAATGGGTGTTTCAAAGAGAAGGGGGGAGTGGGGAAGTGAATGCCCCGTACAAATTGGCCTCAGGTAGCTTTGAGATAATTCAGGTGGAGCCATTCCCCAGGAAAAAGCAATGTTGGCCTACAGATTGGTCCCCCCTAAATTCAAAAATGTTTTTTTAATTGCTTCAGCTGAGACAAAATGCACTGCTAGATTCAGACTAATTAGATAATAGCCCCCATCTTAAGAGGTTAAGAAAAACGTTATTGCACTCCCTTTATTGCAGCAGTGGGAGTAGAAAAACCCCAGTAGGGGACTCTGTTTGACTCATGCCTGCGCAAAGAACAGCCACTTTGTACAAGTTACGACTGGTTTATACGCAGAGTTCCTGCATTTTTCAAATATTCACTATAGCTGCGATAATGAGGAAACATCTAACAAACAGCGCTGGGGTGCGGTGAGACAGATCTAGGGCCACAATAAAGCCAGACAACAGACAGCACTGTAAAACCAGCCCAAGTCAAACATGGGACTCACTATCAGCAAGTTGTGTTGTGTCTTTACAGAATCACAGAGTATGTACACAACTACGTCTGGAGGTCTTTATTCACAGTGGTGGCTCCACAGATAACAGATAGTCTGTTTGAAAAGGAGACGCAGTAACATGGTCAAAAATGAATATACTTCAACAATCTTTCTTGAGAAATTCAAAAGTGAAAGTGACATTTAAGTTGCAGGAAGGTTGACACTCCATCTGAATCACAGGTTACAGTCACATCAAGAATGGGGTTGTCACATTTCTTTGTAATATTTTCCTGTCTCACTTCAGAAATAAACTGCACTGTTGTTAACTTAAGGCACCACAACACACCAGACAAGCAAATCGAGCAGCTAAGTGTTATTTTTTGCTTTACTTTTCCTGAAATGTAAGTACTTTTTCAACATTTTGGGAATTACACATATTTAATTTATTGCAGAGACTAATAGAAAATATGATTGATACCAGTCTCATGTCTAAATGCTAAATATTAAGCTACCGCCCAACAGCTGTCTGGGGTAGCTTAGCTCAAAACAGCTAGCATAGTTCTACCTGAAGGGAAACTGTCTTATTATTTCTGAGATTAAGAAAACTGGGCTAGGTTTAGCAAAAGATCAGTATAACTAAGTTTAACATACTAACATAGTTACGTGCATTTACGTACAAACGTAGTTGTGTTGTCAAAATGGGATTTTGGTTTCGGGATACAAAACCGAGGCCTCCTGCATGGATGTCAATGAGAGGTCACCTCGTTATGTCAAATCTAAATATGGGTCGTGGATGGAGTATGGATATGTTGCTTGCAGTAGTTTCTTTTGATGAGGATGTTTGCGTTGGAAAGAGCTAACTAGCTGTTCCTGTTGTTTCCAGTTTTTGAGTGACAGAAGATTCATATTTACCACAAAGAGACATCAAACATATTTTCCAAAGTACATAACACTATCCTAATGCTAAGCGTAATCTAAAGGCATGTGTTCAGTATTTATTCCTGGCAAAAATCTGTAATTCCTAAATTAAAAGCTACAATCAACTGAGCATGAATTAACCTCTTAGCTAGCAGTGGACTGATGAGACTTTTAACAGTCTCCTTGTCCCCAAAGGCCTCCAGCCTCTTTACCAACCATGTGGTCCCCTTCTTGGGTTGCAGTCTGTGGATAGTGAGACCACCCCACTGGGGAAAGGGGGCCAAGATGGCACATTGATCAAATATCAGCTAGACACTAGTATCCATTCTATAAACTGGGGGACATTTCTGCAGAGATTCAGGCCGATAAACCTCACATTCAGACTCCCTTCCCTGGTGACAACACACAGGAAGTGGGTCGTAGACGCTATTTTCTTCCTGCATTAGCCTTCAAAGCAGAACGAGGACACAGATAACAGCGAGTTATGGACACGTCGTGTGATCATGGATGCGGAAGGACAAGGGGGGGGCACTGTAATTAGCAGAGGGAAATCCTACACTAAACAATGATACAGTTTGAGGAGCCTTCATCAGGGAAGCTACACACAGGAACACACATTCTTTTCCTCGAACATCAGCTATTCCTAAAACAAAAAGCATGTTCTTTCATGTAAATCCCCCCCAATACTGTGAGCAGCGTTCATGTCTTGGTGATAAGCATCCATAAGTGTTACAGGTCAATGAACACCTTTATTGTGAAACACAAACCAACTTGTTTCTCTGCTGAATGTAATAGCCTCAGGATAGGTGGAAAGAAAGTAGAGCGGGATATGGAAAGGCTTTCTGTGCATTCCAAAATGCATACACCAAAGAACCCTGAACCCTCTGAAACTGCTTTTTTTTAAAAACAATTACAAAGCCTCATTTCCCACATGATGTGACCTTAAAATACACTTCAGATTCTGTCTTGAACTCCACAGAAAAGGCAAGCCCCAGATGAGTTGTGGGCTTGTGTTTTAGAGTTTTACATGAAACTACAATGCAAAATCACAGGAATCATGACATTTCTATATTATTCAATTATGCATTTTCTATCATATTTGAGTCAAAGTTGGAGAATGAACCTTACAATAATTGTATGTTTCAAGGTTTTAGATTGACAGCCAGAAAAGCATATCAAATAGAGAATGTGTGTGTTAATAAAATACACTTACATAGAGCCTATGATTTCCTGTTTCACACACATTTTTGTACTGAACAAGGTAGTAGCCAAACTTCCGCACAGTCAAACTGAACAGTCATATGAATCTTATACTTTAAGAAAGATAATATTATTGGCACAGGTCGTCAATTCACTATGCAGATACAAATAAATAAAAAAATGCATCGCTGCTTTTCAACAGGTGGTTTGCTCGAGAGGAACTACTTTATTGTCTAGTAAAAAGGGAAGTATATGATTTTACAAGAAGTGTGTCGGGTCACAGGTGTTATACCGCAATATACTCCAAACCTTCATCGGGGGTTTTTGCGCAGTAAGTAGGCGCAATGAGCTTCTCTGAGGCAGTGAATAAAATGGCTCTTTTTCCTTACGCCACCTGGTCTAAAGCAGGTGCGTAGCCTGCGTATTATAACCTTAAAAAGGAGAAAGAAGTGTTGTTAGACATGCACAGCTGATTACTTACAGGTACTTGTTGGGGACTCCCTGCTGTTCGTGCAGAGCGACTGAGAATCCAAACAAGCTGCCTTTGGTTTTCCCCTCTTTGATCACGGGAAACCGCTCATCTATGTTAAATCCACTGCAGGTTCTTGTCCCTTGGTACACAGCCAACACCGCGCAGAGGAACAGTCTGGGGGACATGGTGGCGCTTTTCATGCCGCGTAAGTGCACTGGGTTCCCCGCAGATCCACGATCAGCGTGAGTCCGACACGTCTCCCGCAATGAGCTCCAACAGGTAGACTGCTTCACACAGAGACCTGCCCATCGAGAGCCGGCTGCTGCCCCCCCCCCTCCTCTGTGTGAGTGCTGAGGTGTCGGTGTCTGCCTCCCTCTGCCTCTCTGCTGCCCTCCCCTGCTCTCCCTTCCTTCCTCTCTGCCCTCCACTCCGAGAAGAAACAAGTGCACTCCCTTCATTCACACAGTGTGGTTAGCAGGGGGAAATCTGTCTCTCATCTTCCCCACCCGCATCCTGTCTCAGTTTCTCTTTCACACACATCTTTTGCTTTCCACCTGTTGTGCTTGTAAACTTCATACAACTGCACGTTTTAAAACAAAACAGGCATTGGAGACTTTTCACAACTTATTGAAAATGTCTGTGCAATATGTAATTTAGGGTTTAATTCTTGCCTTTTACAAACAGTCAATCGCTGCATTAATACCTCCATCAATACCTTCATTATAAAACAAAAACGATTAGGGTACATGCATTCAAATTCAACTAAACTTTCTTCATTGAATAACATTCTACTCAACAATGTGCTTATTATTGTGTGTGCCCCCCCCCCCCCAGAAAAGACTGGGGATTAGTTCAAAATGCACATTGGAGATTTTCTTGTAAGTAAGTGAAAATGCTCTCAAATAAACATATTGTCTGTCAAACTTCATAAAACTGCACTTTTTAAGAAGAAAGAGCAATTGAAGCCTATAGTCAGAAAAGACATAGTTGAAAATGAACAGAAGAGATTTTCATGAAGAGAAAATGCTCTCAAAAAGTATTCAAGTCATCCCCGTTTCTAAAGATAAAGTCAGTTGACCTTTTGAACTTATCACCTGCAAAAAAGAGCACAATCTTTTTCATAGGTCTACCTACGCTGTAAAATGTATTATCTCTTCGATTTACACACGGCATCTATTGCACGTCTGTCCGTCCTGGGAGAGGGATCCCTCCTCTGTTGCTCTCCCCGAGGTTTCTCCCATGTTTCCCTTTAAACTGTGGGGTTTCTCCGGAAGTTTTTCCTTGTACGATGTGAGGGTCTAAGGACAGAGGGTGTCGTATTCTCATACTGATATTCTGCACAAACTGTGCTGTTATATTTGCTGCAAAGTGTCCTTACTGTAAGGTCATTATTATATGTACAGCACTTTGGCTCGACCAAAAATCGTTTTAAAAATGTGCTATATGAATAAAACTTGATTTGAAACTTGAAAACACACATAAATCCTGTTAGCCATTGAGTGCTTCGTGCAGGATATAATGTGAAGGAGGGACTATGTTATAAAAGTCAGGCCTCCTGTCAGAACTCCCTAATAGACGGCCTCACATGAGCCCTCTTGTGACGGCCACCCCCTGCCTCGATCCACTGCCTATCGCCCAGACGTATGGCTTCCAATGAGCAATTCATTAAATTGTTAATCCCCTTAGAGAGTTCACAGAACAGGCCAGAGTTCTTTAAAGCATCCTCTCCTCCAGCATGACTCCCCCCCCCCTGTTTTGGTCCGACTCTCTCAGGAACCCCCTGGTGTTGAGAGACCAGCTGTAGCTCCCTCTCCTCCCTGTTTGCTTGTATCTTCACAGCAATGTGCGATCCTTCATCGTGGCTGCTTTATTGGCTGACTCCAGGCTTACATCTGGCACCGCTGACCTCCTCTAATTGATGAGCCGAGCTCCCACTCTGCAGCTCCTCTCGCTGCATGAGTTTCTCTCACCCAGAGGTAATCTCTCCCCCGTTACCGGGTGAAATAATGCTCCACGGGGAATGAAGTTCACTGCACACATTCCAGTGCAAAAAACGTCCCGTGTGCAACAAGAAACACTGACTGAGTTAAGAGGTGTGGGCTGCACAAATTGGTTTAAAAAACGAATTGCAATTATATTACTGAATATCCCTCATGATATTGGAGGGGTTGCTCATTTTTTTATGTTAATTCTCATTATTTCTAACATTTTGAATTGAATTTGAACACATATTTAGCCTTTAACAAATAAGCTTTTTGCCATTTGAATATTGCAATTTCGATAAAAGATGTAATTAAGTGTACAACCTTACTCTAAACTACATTCTGTTTAGGTGTTCACATGAATGTATTTGGTGTGTAACACTACATAAATCTGGATCGATAGATAAGTTCAATGATCAAAGATTGAATATCATCGATGCAAAGAGAAAGGTAGACATATCTTCTTTCACATATGCATTTATATTGGAATTTCCAATTAAGTGTCACCCTAACCCTGACAATATAATGTCACTTCTAAACCACATGCAACTTCCCTTTGGCTAACAGAAAACAAGAAGTATACTGTATATGTTCAATGATCAAAGATTCAATATCAACAGTCTGCTACTGCAACAAAAACTATTTCCCAAATTGGGATCAATAAAGTATCTTATCTTATAAAGGGAACACATACGTATGCAAGTCATTAAAACCCTTCAGCGCTTCAGTGTCACCCTAAAACTAACCCCTGAAATATAGCGTCACTTCTAAGACGCATGCAACTTCTTCTTTGATACCAGGAAACAAGAAGTATGTAGATAGCAAAAGAGGAAACACACATACAGGTGTATTCTACAGATTGTAATATCAAAATCTATGGTGGTCACATCAGCGTCTGTGACTTTAGAATCCCTGGCCTTTACAGTTAAACATGATTTTAGAGTTAATCCAGGCTTAAACTTTGTGGAGTTTTTCTGCATTTTATCTAGCAGGTAACACACCTTTCTCATCCCAAAGGTGAGCGCACAACATGCCGGTGTATACAGTGTCAACATCCTGTGGTTGCCTTATCAGGTCATCCATCTGGAACACACTGACGCAGAGCAGATCCATGCGGTCCAGACACAGCTTCACCACTCTGACTCGACACCCCGCAAACATCCTGAGATATTAGCAGAGAGGAATTTAAAGCAAACAACAACATACAAGAAATCTGACCTCTGGTTGTTTTACTCTATGTGATACATTCCTTTGGGACTGGAGAGCACCTGATATTTCACCCCTCTGGGACCTTTTTGACATGTGAAAAGTGACAGCTGATACTGATACAGGCAGGAAACAAACACACTGTTGTTTAAGGTCTGCAGCCAATTGTTAGTCCCTATTGGCAGTAGACTTTCCACAATTTAAAACTCAAAATCTACTAAAAGCTGATACCTTTCTCGCACAACAGCTCACGTTCAGTCCCTTCTGTGTTACAGTAGAGGGAAAAAACGTCCTGCTTTGACATTTGTATTCCCCAGACCCAGATGTAAGCCTACACCGGCCTCTGTGAACGGTGAGGACAAAGAACCCAATGCAGTTGCTGCTGCCCCCAGAGTCCTCTGCTCGACAGTCTGAACCCACACAGCACACATGGAATGTAATTTGCAATTTATCTGCTAGTTTCCTGTCTTTCCCCCCTTTCCAAACCCTCCCAGAAAAAAAGGAATTCCCTACTTATTCCTCTTCCTATGTTTTTCTTTCTGCTTCATAATGTCCACCTAATTGAGGAGGTTAAGCTTACATACTTATAACATCTTCCCGCTCAACTTTACTGCTGCTTTGTGGTTTTGACGTATATCCCGAATGGCTCTGAATCGGCGCTGAGGGCTGATGGGATGGGCAGGGGAGTGGGATGCTATGTGGAGCTCCTGATGTGAATGTGTGATAACAGAAATGGACTGTACAGAACAGCAAATGCATCAGTATGCTCCATAATGGTCCCATTAGTCTTATCTCTGTATCTACTCAATAGGCTTTGTGTAAAGTCCTTAAAGGGGCCTTATTGTGCTCATTGTCAGGTTCATATTTGTATTTTCGTCCTCTACTGGGACATGCCTCCATGCTTTAATGTTCAAAAAGCTCTTTATTGTTCTCACACTGCCTGTGCTGCATCACCACTTTTCACCCTCTGTCTGAAACCAGAAAAGACTCTGATTGGTTAGCTGGCTCTGTTGGGATCGGTCAACTTAGAGATGTCCAGACCCTTAGTCAATAGCCAATAGAATCACAATTGTTACTTAGTTATGTCACTATATCATGGAAGTAAAAAAGTGTGAAGAGAGTGTGTTTAAGCCTTTCAGAACATTTACATGCACAAAAACCTATAACACACGACAGGAAATGGAAAACCCCCAAAAGCATCATAGGTTCCCTCTAAAAACAGGGTTGGAATAGACTGTAGAGACCAGACAGAGAATGACAGAAACAGCCTTCTGAACATAAAAATGCAAAGAATTGTCTCAAAATAACTAAATGTCAGCTTCGTGTTGAATTTCCATGAATATTAATCCACATTACGGGCGAACATAACATACCGAGCAGGACATTGGTTGAATATGAAACACAGCACGCTCTCACCCCGAGTCCTCGCTGCACGGCGACGACAGAGACGGCCGTTGCCATGGAGAAGGGAGTTGCTATGAAGCCAGTATGTTGTAGCGTCAGTGCGCTCTGTTTAAAGTCCAGCCAGGACTCTAACTGGGCTCAGATGACCTTTCACAGGAATAAAACATGATCATCTCGCCCCTGTCCATTAAACCAGTCATTTACAAAAGAAACAAACACACATTTATGCAGATGTTTGCCACACATGTGCACAGCTACACAAATAATATAACAATGTAAGCTTTCTGTCCCACTGTTAATACGAGTGTTAACATTAATTAACTGGCTTCTCCTACTAAAATGCAGAACATCAAGTGAACTTTAGGAGACAAAACACAAAGAAATCCACATTTTTATGCTGTAAATGTAACTCTGGCACAAATAAAATCTAATTTTAGAGGAAACTATAAATGATACATGAGCAAAATCTAATAATATGTCATTTTGTTTCTTAAACCAAGCAGTCAGTTCTCAGCCTCTGGTTCTACGGAAAGAAGAGGCTTTGAGTATTGTATAAATACAAGACTGTATACACCATATCTTTGCTAACAAATGTCCATACAATAACTGACGCCAGCTTATCTAACACTCAGTTTTAGTATGAAAGGTTGATTCATGCTAAAACAAAAATGTGTTATTTCAATCATTATTCAAAATACCACATTGTATCAAGTTCTTGTATTTCATGAGTTACAAACGCATGTTTTAAACAAAT